GGGGCGTGTGCCGCCCTCCCTCAATGGGGCATTTGAGACAGAAGTGCACTGGAACACAGCTTCAAGGAAAGAAACATCACAGACCTTTCGTACATGGGAAGGGATGAGGAGACAAGGGAGGGGTGCAGAAAGAACAGTGCTGCGTCACTTGTACACATGAACTTCCCCTGAGGAGTGTGACTGTTAGCACAGCAGCATGCACTAGTACAAAAGACAGAGGTCCTTACAGAGAAAAGGCAGCTCTTGCATTTTTGGACCTGAACTAATTGGATCATAGCACTGTTACTACCCCAAATACACTGGCCCTGTGGGAGTGGGGTAGGAGCCCAGCTGTCCCACAAAGGTAACCAACTCGGAGTCCTGAGACACAAAAAATCTGTTGCAAGGCAATAGATACTCCTCCTTGTCTCTCGCATACTTGGAAAATGAAAACCACTTTATTTCTCCACTTAACTGGGAACAATCTAAGACAAAGGACTAAGAACAACTGAATTTTCCTTTTTTTTTGGCAACCACCCTATTTGGAATTATTATGTCAGTGATGCAAACCAATGGATTTTTTTTCTTATAACTTCCTTTATAACATAGTTAATTAGAATTAAGAAGCTACTTGGAAGAGAGGTAGAATTTAAACTCCCAAGAAAGATGAGAGCCCATTTGTGGCATCATGACCACAACTACTGTAACAGTAGAGACGCTGCGACCTGTCCTAGTGTGGGAATGTGCAGCACTCCCCATCTCAGGGGCATTAGCACAGGTCTGTGCATCTGGCGACCTGGCCGGCCCACAGAGTGGCCACACCTTGGCTCAGTGTCCTCACGCCATCAGCCTCCTGGTTGCAGCACTGAGCTCTGTCCGCGACACCCCAAATCCTGTGAAGCCGCCTTCCAGGGCCCGGCTCAGCAGAGAGCTAGCACCCACCACAACCCAGAAGCAGCAGGAGGGGAGGGTGCTTTATCTAGTCGCTGGTCTTTGCAGACCACCACGAAGGAGATTTCAGAAACACAGCAGAAAAAAGAGAAGATTCTGATGTTTGCCTAAGAAGCCACCGGAAACATGGCAGAGGGCACCGTGCCTCTCAGTCCCAGGATCAGCCCTGGATGGACACTGGTAGGACCAAGCAAGACAGATGTCTGCTGCGCCCTCCCTCCCCACCCAAGCCCGCAGCACCCCAGATCCTGAATCTCATGTCTGTGACCATCTGAACAACAGCAGCACAATTGACCCCTCAGCTGTAGACCCGGAATCCCAAGTTCCTCCATCCTTCTCTTCTGCTCTGCATCTCCTGATTCATCAAACCCACCTAGACAGGCAGGGTTGGGCACAGCCCAGGCAGGGCGCTAACACAAGTCACTGAGCCTCGTCTGGGCAGGCCAGCACGGAGGCTTCCCGGCCCCCCACTTCTGAAATGCTTGCCCCTGGCCTGCAGTTCTGTCTGCAGACCCTAAGGTTCTGCTCTCCAACCTCTTAAGCTTGCGTATGACGACTGGGACATACTCCCAAGTTATATGACCATGAACAGAAGACGTGGGTCAGCTGGTCCCCGAGCGACTGAAATTCCCTAGGAAAGCTGGCTTCAAGTGCCAAAGGTGACCACCTGCATACGTTCCAAACAGCAAAATGTTGCTTCTCTTGTCAAGGTGGGGGTTAGACAGCCTGAACTATGACAGTAGCAATATCTCCTCGCAGCTCAAAAAACAGAAAAAAGAAATGCAAGCAAACCAAAAAAATGAGAATTGAGCCTATTATATACACAAATAATTTCAAGTACTCTATTTTATTTTAGATATTACAGTACCTAACACCCTATTTGTTTTGGATCCTGTGGAATCTTGGGGTACATAACTTTTATTTTTCAAAATCTCAATAGTAAAATCAGACAGACAGATAGATCCTGAAAAAAAAATCTGTTTCCTCTAAACCCTTCCT